GTGCACGCGGCCGCGTTGCGCGCGTACAGCAGCCGCGCGACGACGGGCCGGAGCAGAGTGTAGATTTGCTGGCCGCGCGTGCGGGGGATATGCGGCGGCAGCGGGCGGCACCGCATCAGCTCGTTGCAGCGGTGCGCGTAGGTGAGCAGGATGTGCAGCGCGAGGGAGATGGCCTGCGCGGTGGTGTCTTCGGGTAGAGGACGGGGCGGGTCAGGGGGGTGGCAGGCGGCGAGGGGGAGCAGCTCGACGATGATGCGCGCGTCGGCGGCGACGGCGCACACGAGGCGCTTCTCGCCGTCGGTGCGCACGTCGTACGCGGCGAGCGAGCGCGCCTCCCGGGTGAGCTCGTGCCAGAGCTCCTGCGCGAAGATGGTGTCGCGGGCGCCAAGCACGCGCGCTTCGAGGTCGTCGTCGTTGTCAGTGTCGTCGTCAAGGGCCCGCGGGGGGGCGGCGCGGCCAACGACCTCGCCGCCGCGCTCGTACGTGACGACCAGGCGCTCCTGGGTGCCGCCGAGGCGGCCAATGTCGAGGCGGGCGACGCCGGCGGCGTCGTCGTCGTCGTCGTCGGCGGCGCGGCGCAGGGGCGCGAGGCCGTTGCGCTGAAACTCGGGGGCGGCCTCGGAGAAGCCGAAGCGCACGCCGAGGGCGCCCTCGCGCTCGTGCGGGACGCGGCAGACGGACCAGCCGGCCTGGCGCACACGCATGACGCCTTGCCAGTAGCGGCCCTCGGCGGCCATTTCGGCGCGCAAGAAGGCGGTGGCGTCGTCGGCGGCGTCGCGGGCGCGGTCAATGGCCATGAGCGTCCAGCCGACGGCGACGGCGGCGCGGTCCTGCGTCTTGGCCGGCGTCGTGTTGGAGTCGTCGAGGCGGTCGGCGCCGAGCGTGCCGATGCCGACCATTTCGCGCAGCTGCGGGCTCAGCGTGAGGCCGGCCTGCGTCGGGTTCTGCTTGGAGAGGAGGAGCGAGAGGGAGTCGAGCGTGAGCATGGCCGTGTTGCTCGCGATGCTTTTTGTCCCATGTTAGCCCGGGGGGTGGAACAGCACCGCATACGTGTGTTTTCCAGCTGGGTGGCAACTCACTCGATGTTCTTGAGCACTTCGTCGCGCGCGACCCGGGGGTCCTTGGCGGCATCCTCGTCGTCATCCTCGTTGTCGTCGGCGTCGTCGGACGTGTCCAGGTCTGGGGCGGCGGCGGTGGCGTCCTCGTCATGTACTGCGTGGCGCGCGTCGATTTCCTCGGCCAGGCTCGTCTCTGTGACTATGCGGAAGCCTCCAGGCGCGGCGTTGACGCGCGCGATGAAGTCGGCGAGGTTCCGCGGGCTCTTGTCAGCGACGGGGAAGGGCCGCATAGACAGCGGAGGGCCGTCGCCCGTACCCATGGCTGCCAGTCGTCGGGGAAGATGCTCAGGCGCTACCGAGTGACGGATGTAGGCTGCAGTGATCGGTCGAGGAGAGAGAGGCGCGTGGCGAGGAGGCGAGGGTGTGGTTGTCGCGTTGTGAAAGGTGCTGAGCTTGCTTGCTGTGGGAGGTCCCGCGATGTGGTGGGTCGCACTGGGACCATTTTTATCCACGTTATAGCGTCATCTAGCTTGAAAAAACAGCCAACTTAATATTCTACTAAATCATTATCTATTATCTATTATCTATCAACTAGTAATATTCAATAATATATCTATATATAGGTTGATTAATTATAGTTGAAATAGTTGAAATATTTAAAATAGTCAAGTTCAAAGAAAGAACTTGGTATTTTTGAAAATCTATTTTAGAAAGAAGGAAATATTATCTTGCTATAGTACCTCTTCTATAGTATAAAGTATATAGTAACCAAGGTACCATTTTAGGGCTTCTTTCTAAAAGCTAGAGGCTTTATAGCCACTCTGCTCTACCTATCTTCCATCCACCACCCTTCATCAGAACCCGCGGAACCAGTGGGGGTGGCCAACTCGTCGGGGCACCAGGTGGTGTAGGTCGTGACGAGCTCGAAGGTGACGCGGCCAACGGGGCAGTTGGTGACGACGGGCGGGCACGAGGTGATGGTGTAGGTGCTGGCAGTGAGATAGGTGAACGTGTAGGTCGGCGCGGCGGTAACGGCGGAAGTCGCGTTGCGCAAGTGCGTGCTGCTGGTGCTGCCGGTGCCGGTGGGGTGGACGGCGCTGGAGGTAGTAATGGCGCTGCCGTTGCAGACGGAGGAGTTGGAGACTCCGGTGCTGGTGGGCTTGGACGAGGTAGGTTGACCAGTGCCAGTGGAGATGGACGAGGTAGAAGTACCGATGCGGGTGCGGATCGAGGAGCTTGGGATACCAGTGCCACCGGGAACAGAAGAGGGGGGGACACGGGTGCTGGTAGGGACCGAGGAGGTCGGGATACCGGTGACGATGGAAACGGAAGAGGCGGGGAGATTAGCGGCCTGGCTGCTGCTGGACGAGGTCACGCTGCGGACAGTGCTCGTGGTGATCGAAGAAGTCGGGTTCCTGCTAGGGGTAGCTGAAGTCTGGCTTCTGCTAGAGGTAGCTGATGTCTGGCTCTTGCTAGAGGTAGTAACCGACGAAGTCTGGCTGCTGCTAGAGGCGGTCAACGAAGAAGATACGGTGGTGGGAGCAGAGGAAGTCTGGGCGCTGCTGGACGTGGCGGCGGGAGAGGTAGTCGTGGAGGAGCTGGTCCCGGCAGACTGGCCGCATTCGCCCTGAAGAGGCTTGACCGCATCAGCACCCTTTCCAAAAGCAACCAGGTTCGTGCCGCAATCAGCGCTCTGCGCAAGCCACACGTTCTTGTTGTCCTGGTCAAAGACGGCGTACGCCGCGCGCAGGAACGAGTCGCCCAGCGACCACGTCTTGCTGCTAGCCGCGCTGGGCACGACGCCGAGCACGCAGAGGTTCGTGCCGGCCTGCCAGATGAAGTCGCCAAAGGACACCTTGACGACGGCGGCGCCAAACTTAAAGTCCACCGTCTTGTTCTCCTTGCGCAGCGCGCACGGCACCGTGTGCTGGTTGCGGCGCGCGTCGAAGCTGGCGCCGGGAAAGCCCGTGGCCACGGCGTCGACAATCGCCGCCGGCAGGTGGCCGAGCGTCGCGCCCGTGTCGGGGAAGATGGCCAGGCTGGCGCCGGCGGCCAGGCCCTGCTGCGCCGTCCCGTCGGGCGCGTTGACCGTCAGCCCGTCCATGGTGATCCAGTAGCGGACGTCGCCGTCCGGGCCGGGCACCACAATCGGGCACTTGGTGAGCGTGCCGGCAAACTTCTTGGTGTCGGCGCCGCCGAAGATGACAGCGCCGCGGGCGCTGTCCACGGAGCGCAGGTCGACGGAGAAGGCGCGCGCGTTGATGACGCCCTGGCGGGCGAGCGAGTCGACGACGAGCGGGTACGGCGCGGCGTCGAAGCCTGCGAGGTCCGGGCCGGCGCCGAGGATGCCCTCGCCGAGGTCGCTGCTCGCGTACGCGGCGCCAAACGTCTGGTTGCTGATGGTGGCGCTGCCGAGGCCGACCGTGTCCTGCACGTAGTCGAACTTGACCTGGCCCTTGCCGTACGTGACGCCGCCCTTCTTGCCGAGGCTGACGGTGGACGCGCCCGGCACGAAGCGGCCGAGGCCGCGGCAGAGGTCGGCCTCGCCCGACGTGCTGCAGTCGGGGTTCACCCACAGCTCGCTGGAGCCCGTGTCGAACGCGACCTGCACGGCCTGCGCCGGCGTGCCCATGCTGAGGCTGATGAGGTACTGCGAGCCCGACTCCTGGTTGATCAGGTCGGTCGAGGCCTGGCGGCGCGCCGGCTGGGCGCTGCTGCGCTCGGTGGTGGACACGGGGAAGCGCAGCAGGCCGGGGAGTTCGACGGCCCGGTTGTCGTCCGCGGTGGCGAGGGTGTTGGCGATGGCGACGGCTTGGACGGCAGCCGCGCCGACGGTGGTGGCGAGGATAAAGGAGCGCATTGTAGCGATGTGATGAGACACAGAGAGCGATGTAGATATGGGAAAAGAATGAAGAGAACCGAAAAGAAGAAAGAAGAAGAGGAACGAAAAAAAGAATGAAAAGGAACGAGGACCGGAAAGATGGTGGTTCAGTTGGAATGTCCTAGTTGAAAGAGAGACGAGGAGCACACTGGGGAGAAGATGATGGAATCGACGGGGAAAGCTTGGCGGACCATCACGACTTTATACTGAGATGTCTTTACACCAAACATCGGTCATATTGTTGGGAGAGCTCGCTCACTCGGGGCTTCAGCAAAGCAGCTGTTTCTCTCAGGCAACTCGAACCAGACCCCCGAGCTTACAGGCAAAGCCGGCGGGGATCGACAAAACCACAGCAGGCTAGTATGCATATTCGGCAGAGGGCTTGGTTTTATGATCCTTGCCAGGGATCTGCGGACGAACCGGGAGATTGTGCTGAGCTGACCCGTCGTTGAGACGAAACGAGGCGGGCCGGGAAAGCCGGTAGTTGGGGCTTTGCTGCTGGTTGGTGTCGGCGAGATGCGTCCGGCAAACGGGTTCTGGGTAGAGGACGAGTGTGAACAGGGCTTGCATTAGCGTCAGGTAGGCGCCCACGTTTCATGGTCGTTGGATTGTGTGAGATCTACGATGGTGATGCTACGCGCCGAGAGTCGTCGACTTGGGATGCTGGGCCGGGGATGAGATGGTGCAATGGATTGGATGTGTATCGGTGTAACAACGAGACTCATACTATCAAAGCAGGGGCTACAAAATACACCTAAATTCAAGAAACATTCTTTTGTACGTGTTGAGTGATATGAGGTGCGAATCCCACATCGTCGTCCTCTCGACGCTCGACTTACACGAATGTTTGTCGACACTCTGCTCTCCTGCCCCAGCAAGTGAGCCGATGGGCCTTCTTCACCCTTGATACCAAATCATCCACCATTCGTTTAACTCTGTATCAAGTTGAATGGATTGTTTCTTTTTTTTTTCCGCCAAAGTTTATGACCTTCCTTTTCCGGACCTTTGGGTTGAAGAACTGGGGGAACGGCGCCATCCATTACCTAACGAGGCAAGACTACCCACATTGTGTTATGGGGAGGGAAAATCATAGTGGTTCCGGGCGAGGAGAGAATGCAATATGAAGGATCGCCGCAATTAAAGATCGCTCCGTTTAAAAAAACAAATTGGCTACAATGGTAAGGTAAGGTAGGCGCCGTGGCGACGGCATGTGCGTGTGGAAATTCTCCACTCATGCAGGTACAATTCGATCGTCTTAGATGGTTAGCCGGGCTGGAATGGTCGAGAAAGTATGGTTAGCCAGGCTGGAATACTCGACAAAGTATGGTCCAGTTATAACTCGAGTCATCAGCATGCGCTTCGGTCGGGGAAGTCGTTGTTGTGCCCAATCAACTCGAACTTTTTCCTCTACCTCGCAACATTCACGCACACAAAGAAGAAGAAAAAAAAAAGAAAATTCCGAAACAACAAGGGCCATGTATCCCACAGTGGAGACCTCGAGTATAAAATCCCGCGTCGGTTCAGTTGTTGGTCCCCAGTAATTTTCATCCTTGCAGAAACGACCAGAGAGGCAGCTGTGCGAGTCATCGCGAGACAGCCTCAAACCGCCACGCTGACCCTAGTTGGCCGTGGCTCCACAGGCAGGGCAGACCCCTTTTTCATCGGAATAACTAGTTAGTTAATTTGTACAATGTGCGAAAGGGGTGTTGCCGCAGAGTACTATCCGGTGGCAGTACATATACCAGTACGCATAGGTGGTTGACGCTGAGCTGTTGTTGCTTTGTTTGCCTGCATCGAATCATGCCTCCCAAAGACAGCACACACAGGCAAACAAAAAAGCCACAGCGCCAGCCTCGTTACGGAGAGGGGGGGGACTAGAAAGGGGGAGCGCTCAATAGCCCCAGCTGAGCTCTAGAACGAGTCAATGTATTTACTTACCCGGAACCGCCAGAGCAGACAACTTCACTTGCCAGTTGAATGAGGCCCGAAACTTGTATGGCATGTTGGAATATTATTAGTAAACAGAGGAATGCGGCCAACGTCTCACTCGCCAAGCATGTCTCGGGCGCACCCGTCCATAGCGTCACAAGAACCGAGGCTAGATGAACCTTGTTTTTTATCCATCTCAACACTGGCGCGCATCGATCTAGGGTTTTGCTACCAATCCAATGGAATATATCAGCTTGCAAAAATAGTGAATTGCATGTATTCTAATCCCTCCGTGTCCGCTTCTAGTCTCCCTGGGCTGCCTCGCTCCATTCCATCTATCCTGTAAACAAGTGTCCCAAACGCCAGGTCAAATGCAACAAATGCATCCCAAACAAGAAATACCACGCTTTCTATGAATACTTCCCATGTATGCAAATATACAGTATATTGCAGTGTCAACAATCAAAACAAAGAAAAATGATGAACTTGTCACAGCACGCCCTTTACAAGCCGGCAAAGAGTGCGGCGGCCGCGACAAGGGCCAGGCTGGTACGGCCCGGGAAACTCGACGCCGCCGCGTTCGGTGTGTGCGACGGCGTGCTCGAGTTTTCGAGAAAGACGGCGCTGGTCGTCTTTTGCGGGCTCTGCGCCGAGGTGGTCGATGACGATGACGGACGCGCCGAGCTAACCGGCGCGTTGAGCTTGCCCTGGAAGACGTCGAGGATGCACTGCTGCATGAGCTTATTGTCCGTATAGTCGCCGGCCGAGCCCGTGGGCGTCAGCGACATGACATAGGTAGAGTCGAAGCTGCCGGCGCTCCAGCCTACGAAGCCGACAAAGACGTCAGTGTTTTGCGCGATAAAGGTATTCTGCGCGCAAAACTTCTTCATGCACGAGTCCTCCATGGACGCGCCCGTCTCCGACACCATGGCGGTGCGGTTGTTCGCCCGCAGCCACTTGGCAATCGTGCCGAATCCGACGACATTATCCGTCGTGCACTCGGCGTGCTGGCCCGAGTTGTTGATGTCGAGGTACTGGTGCAGGTCGAGCAGCAGGCCGTCGGTTGAGCCGTCGGGGTTGGTCACGTTGCTCAGCAGCTCGGCGCTCTGGTTGGCGACAAAGTCGGCCGCGCTGGAAAAGTTGTTGCCGGGCAGCAGGATGATTTGCGTCTTGGCGCCGGCTTTGCGAATGGCCGTGACGGCGGCCTGGCACGTATTGGCCCATTTGGCCGTATCGAGGTCGTGCGGCTCATTCATCAGCCCAAAGACGACGCGGTCATTGTCGGCGTACTTGGCCGCAATGTTGGCCCAGAGCTGCGCAAACGTGGCGTCCGAGGGTCCGCCCTGGCCAATGATGCCCTTGTCGAAGCGTGCAAAGTTGTGCAGGTCAATCATGCAGTAGGCGCCCGTGGCGAAGCACGCCTGCATGAGCGTGTCGTAGCTCTCCCAGCCTTGCGCGTCGAGGGTGCTGCCGCCCTTGGCGTTGGTGAGCAGCTGCCACGACACGGGCAGCCGGAAGATGTTGAGCTTGTCGTCCTTGACGAAATGCTCCATTTGCGCCTGGCCGTCGGCGCCGCCATAGTTTTTGAGGGGCAGGGCGACGGTCTTGAGCGGGCAGGTGCCGTCAATGTCGCAGCCAAAGTCGATGCCGGACATGGCGACGCCGAGGTACTGCAGCTTGGCGGAAGCACCGGCGGCGAGGGCCAGCAGCGAGGTGGCCGTGGTCGAGGGACGCATGGTGGCGGGCGTGTCTTTCTACTGTAAAGTAAAACGATGTCGATATTGTAAAAGAATGTTGATGCGGAAATTTCGAAACGGCAAGATTTCCTGCACTATCGACAAAGACGGAGCAGGGGAAGCGCCCGTTTGGAGCCAGCCGTCGTTATACAAGCGATTAACTCGGCCAAGAGGAGCGTCTACGCTGCGCAGTTGTATGCAAGATCTAGGACGAGGGTCGAAATAAGAGAAAATATAGGAAAGACGGAAAGACGTAAAGAGATTGTGGGATGACGGAATATTATATTGTCTCTGGCGTAGACCGGAAGAGGCTCAAAGACTGAGACGCAAAAAGGAAAAATAAGGGAAAAATACGGCAGAGAGAAGAGAGAGAGGCTGAGTCGGCCGGCCGGAAGAGAAAGGGCTGGCAGTGGGTTCTTATGAGAGTCGGCTGCGGCGTGGCATGGTTCTTTTTTTGTTTCGTGTTTGCGGAGGATGGGAAATGGGAAATGGAGTTGAAAGGGGAATGACTTGCAGGGCGCCGCGTAACTATGAGGAACGAGGAACGAGGCTGGGGCTAACTACATAACTAGGCTGGCCCGGCCGCGGCAGGAACCTAGTTTTGGTTAGCTGTCGTGAGAACAGTGGCCAGCCTTTTTGAATACGTCTAAAAACAGCAAAGAGAGAAGGAAAATAGATGTCAAGTCAGCTCGGCAGCCTGTTTTTCTTCTTCCTCATGAGCCGGGCGCCCAGCCTGAACAGCAGATGCCGTCGTGTTGCTGTGGGACCCCCGTATTTGAAGCTATTTTTACCCGTTGCTTGCTTCAGCCTTCAGTGTCTGACAGCGGCCAAGACGTCACAGCCCCCTCACGGTGGTGAGCTAGTACTAACAGAGTTGGTAACAGAAGGGGGGGTTGCGGGAGCCTCGTGCAAAGTGACAGGATGAATGAGCCAATCGCGCGATCCCGTGCAAGTCCCCTAAAAAGCTATTATAACAGCTAGAAGACAGCGCACGTCCAACAACCCCACAGGTTCCATAGTAGTGGTAGGTAACTATTTAAAACACAGCAGAGAGTCAAGAAGGAGTTTGCTCGTCATGATGGTTATCAAATACATCCCAGGGCACTCTGGAGGCTACAAAGCTTCAAATGTTTGCTGAGTAATCACCTGCCAAATGCCAACCAACAGTATTGTACACATTGTAGTCATGAGTCATGCTGCTGAGCCCTGGCGCTAGTTACTTCTAACCGCACCAAAGGCACTTCCCTACGGCCTACAGGGTACCTACACCATTCGCCCTCCTGCCGTCGCCATCGCCATGGATGTGCCTTCAAATTCGCTCAACGTGCGTTTCTGGTCGCGCCGCGAAACTATTTTACGCCCAGTCCTTTGGTCACCTGAAGACCTGCGCCGCTTTGGCTGCCATTTCGGCGACATTCACACGAGCCAGCTGCAAGACCATGTGGTCCCCCCTGTTGAGGACAGCTCGGCCGCCACAGGCCCTGATGTTATACAGGAAAGGAGAGTCCTCAATCGACTACTGCACGACGTGAAGGCAATAGGCGTAAACTACGTCCAAGACAGCACGATAACGACTTTTTTATAAAACTAAAACAGATTACGCCAAAGGACTGGTCAGAGGATCCATACATGCTATTTATACTACTTTCTATCGCGCAGCGCCAATACTACCGCAAGCACGCGCGCCATAAGACCGCGTACCAGGGGATCCATTTTTCAGAAAAAAAGTGTTGCTGATGGAGGCACCTTGGCACCGTGAGAAAATCGCCCAGCGTCATCAGCAGTAACCAAACATCCAGTATGCCTCGTCCCTCCATTTCCAAAGTACCTTGACCGTCCAATCTCCTGCACAGCATCCATGGACTCATAACCCAATCACTACAGCGCTTTTCCCCAAGCCATACCAAAAGTCAGGAGCCGCCACACAAAAGGTCACCACGGCGGCCACCATGTCCCTCACCCACGTCGACCCCGACGACGTCTTCTTCACCTTTTCCCGCCTGCGGCCCCAGTTCTCCTGCGGCCGGCGCGTGCACGACACGCTCGAGGCCGTGCTGCGCCGCGATCTCGACCCGCAGGACCTGCCGCCCATCAGCGTCCTGCGCGACCCGTCCACCGGCCACCTCTTCAGCCTCAACAACCGCCGGCTGTACGTCTTCAAGGCGCTGCGCGCCGCCGGCCGGCTCGACACCGTCGCCGTGCGCGTCCGGCCCGTGCCGCAGACGAAGCGCATGCGCGACAAGTACTCGGCCGACAGGTGCAGCAAGACGGCCCGCCTCATGCTCGAGCGCGAGGCCGCTGACAGGCTGGCCGAGGGGGACGAGGCCGAGGGCGTGCAGAGTGATGCGGGGGATGAGGAGCAGCAGCGCGATGGGACCAGGGAGAAGGCAGAGGGTGAGGCGCCGCCGGCACCAACAAAGCCGGCCAAGGCGGCCAGGAACATGGATGACTGGACTGATGAAGAGGACATTGGAAGAAAGAAGAAGGGCACAAGAGGTAAAAAGGGTCGGTAGCAACCTGATTTCGAGTCATTCATCTATACTATGCATAATGTATGCATTCGGTGGCATATTCCGGGTGTACCACGGACCTTGCAGAAACGCAGGCACCCACATACCGCATCCAGGTATCTTCATTCCTGTCCACGATAACTACCTAGGGAATGCTTCTACAATTCGTACACGCTTCCGTACCACACTCCGGTGGCCCTCATGCCTGCAATGCCTGCGTCCTCCTTCACATCACCTCACAAGGCACTGCCAACCCCCCGTTCCAGATGGACTTCGTACTTCCTCACAACGTCTCTCCAATAACTGCTACCTCATTCTACAACCGACCCTCCCGGCTCATGTATCTGAACGTCGTAGCTGACAACGACGAAAATAAGATATATAAAGTAGATAGCTGAATGCATCTTATACGGAGCAACTACTTTAGTTGGCTCTTGAAATATGTAAACGAGCTGCCCCTTCCGGCGCTATAAAGCTATCATGTCACGAATTGCGGCAGTAATGCACCAACATTAAAGCAAGGTGCTAAAGAAGAAAAAATTCCTCTTAGGATTCAAGGCGCGAATGGTAGCATTAAATTATAATAAATGCAATCTAGAGTTGAATATTCCATCCGTGCAGACAGGCAGCAAAGTGGGGACTTCACAGGTCAGTTCCCGACGTAGGTACGTAATACCAGAACCAACCCCGCCATCTACGCCAAAGGACTTCGTCATACAACATTCCCTCGAAAAAGCATCCAGCGGTAGTAGAGAGCTACTCCTATCGCCCTCCTTCAATCCAATCCTCCAAGATGGCTGCTCCCGAAGTTCACCACTTGTTCCACAACCCAATCGCCGACCATTCCTTCTCGACCGATCACAGCGTCCTCGCCGTGGCACGGGACACGACCATCGAGCTCTACGGCAAGGTCGGAAACGCCTTCAAGCTCAAGGATGAGCTCAAGGGGCACGACAAGACGGTGACCAGCGTCGATATTGCACCCAGCAGCGGCCGCATCGTGACTTGCTCGCAAGGTAAGGCGACCATCTTTGCCCCCCCGTTGCCCCCCCCCTTGTGACAACAAGTCGCGAGTGACTAACTCCATTTTTCTCCTTCATTCAGATCGCAATGCCCTCGTCTGGGAGCCCTCGCCGACCGGATACAAGCCCACGCTCGTACTGCTGCGCATCAGCCGGGCGGCGACGTTTGTGCGGTGGTCGCCGTCCGAGACCAAGTTCGCCGTCGGTTCTGGCGACCGCGTCATCGCCGTGTGCTACTTTGAAGAGGAAAACGACTGGTGGGTGTCGAAGCACCTGAAGAAGCCGATCCGCAGCACCATTACCAGCGTCGCGTGGCACCCCAACTCGGTGCTGCTCGCCGCCGGCTCGACCGACGCCCACGCGCGCGTCTTCTCCGGCTTCATCAAGGGCATGGACGCCAAGCCCGAGCCGAGCGTCTGGGGCGAGCGCCTGCCCTTCAACACGGTCTGCGGCGAGTTCCTCAACAATTCAGCTGGGTGGGTGCACGCCGTCGCCTTTTCGCCGAGCGGCGACGCGCTCGCGTTTGCAGCCCACGATAGCAGCATCACCGTTGTGTACCCCACGGGCCCGGACCAGCCGCCGCGCGCCGTGCTGACGATTGCGACGCAGCTGCTGCCCTTCAAGAGCCTTCTGTGGAGTGCAGAGGACGAAATCATTGCTGCCGGCTACGACTGCGAGCCGTTCCGCTTCCACGGCGGCGAGGCTGGCTGGGAGTTGGCCGGTACCGTCGAGGCTAAGGGAGCCGGTACCGGCGGCGCGCAGCGCGAGGAGTCGGCGCTCAACATGTTTCGGCAGATGGATCTCAAGGGCAAGACTAAGGATGACACGCAGCTTAAGACTACTCACCAAAACACCATTACTATGATCCGCTCCTATGAGTCGTCGGGTGGCCGAGTCACCAAGTTCACCTGTAAGTTGAGGACACCCTAAACCTTGCCGCTCGTTTACTGACCTGTCACAGCCAGTGGTGTTGACGGCCGTGTCGTTATTTGGAACGCTTAGACAAGCCACTAGCTGGCTAGATAGAAATATTTGCCACATTCTCTATGGAACAATATGCTCAGTACGGTAATTTACGCAGCGTGACTGGAAAGGTCAATATTTTATTTATTGCGCCATGTCTACATTTAAGGAAGAGCAATGGCCTCAATCTCAACGTCGACGTTCTTGGGGAGGGTCTTGACAGCGACGCAGCTGCGAGCAGGCTTGTGGGAGAAGTACTTCTCGTACTCGGTGTTCATCTCCTGCAGAGTAGTCAGTATAACGTAACACGGCGCGGTTGTAGAGAAGGCGTACGGCGAAGTGGGCCATGTCGGAGATGAAGATCGTAGTCTTGACGACCTTGGGGATGGAGGAGCCAGCCTCGGCCAGGACAGCCTTGAGGTTCTCGCAGCACTGGGTAGTCTGGGTGGTGATGTTATTGCCGACAAAGGTGCCATCGGCCTTGAGGGGAATGGCGCCGGAGCAGTAGATGGCGAAGGGGGTCTTGATGGCCTGGGACTGTATCGGGAGAGCAGATTAGCTGGCCGTTTGCAGAGACGTGAGCGGTGATGGACGATTGCTCGAAGGATCGGGTCGTTCGTATTGGCAACTCACGTAGGGGCCGACAGCTAGGAAGCGGGGGAGGGGCACGTTAGCGAAGCTGACCGATGCGGACTGGCGGGGGAGCGACTTACGAGCAGGAGCGTCCTTGGTGAAAATAATGGTTTGGTCAGACATGGTGGAGGTGAATCTTGGAGTATCTGGTGAGCGATTGAGTCTGGTGGTGGCGGCGGCAAACGGCGAAGCAGCAGATGCGGCGGCCAAGAATGGGCGCGAGAAGCTCGAGACGAGCAGCGGTCGCAAGGCAACGCGGGCGGGCATTGGACGTACCTGCGTAGTTTTGACAAAGATCAGAGTTGGGGTTTTTGGGGGTGACGAGGATAATGGAGGAGAGAAAAAGGTACAAGTACTGACGTGGGACGTATGGAGTCTTTGTTTCTTTGTAGTGGTCCAGAGAGGTGACTTTGGGATCTTTTGGTGGCAGCAGCAACACGGCAGCGACACTCCGAGCTCCGGCGGCGGACAACAGCGCGCCCAGCGCTCAGATGCCCCGCAAATAGGGGAGGGGACGGTTTCTACTGGCCCAAAACTGCTCAGCGGCCCACTGAAGATGGGTTTCTCGTACCACACTATTACATGAAAGATTCGCGAGTCGGTTCATGCGAACTGGTTTTGTGGTGTAATGCCGGTTGTGTAGAGTTTTGGGTATGCGTTGTTTCGCGAGCAGTCTGCATTTTGCACTCTTGGTCTGGGTGCGAATCCGTTTCTTGACTCTACACCGTTCAGGCTGTTCTTATCTCAACTCTGCTTTCATCGTGTACGCTACTGCCTCGCCGCCCCGCCGATACAGGCCCTACACCTACTGAACAAGTGCCTACCCTATAACATTAGATACTTACCTTTTACACCGCAAGTAGTCTTGGGTTGACGTTAGAATGGTCAGCGTAGGTAAGAGCCTGGAGGCTGACATGCGAACCCCCGCTCGTGAAACATCGCCGTCCAAAACTGGCCCCGCCTTATCCTGTTTGATTGCCCTCGAAACAACATAAACGCCGTTCGATCCCAGAAAATGTGACTCTTGCGGATGAGCGATGACGGAAGCCTCAGCTTGATCGAGTTTACGCTTCGTAACGTGCCAAGTTACGCAACCCTGCCCCAGACCTGGCGGGGCGATCACGAGGCAACATTTCAGGACAACATTAATTCAACAATACCTGCATCTATAAATCAAAACGGTATCTTGGACAAACTCTGAACAGGGCCACGTGGAGAATGTATCTTCCTCACGCACATCATGGCTTTGCTTCGGACCCCATTGCAAAAGAGGACGCTACCAGGATCGACCTGGAATGGAAGAGGGCAACGAGTTACTACAGTGACGGCCGGTTCCACGAGGCAGAAGCCTTGTATCGGGACGTGATGCAGTTTCGGGTAAAGGTACTTGGACCGGAGCATCCTGACACGCTCAAAAGCATGGCGAAGCTGGCTTTGACATACCATGCGCTGAGCCGTTTCCAGCAGTCCAAGGCACTCGGGGTAAAAACAGTCGAAGCTCAGAAACGAGTTTTTGGCGAAGAGGATCCAGAGACATTGTCTACCATGAGTCACCTGGCTATGACATACAGCGATTTATCCCAATGGAAAGAAGCGGAAGAGCTCGAGCTTCAAACAATGGAACTTCGCAGTCGAGTCCTCGGCAGCGAGCATCCAGATACACTAGTTGGCATGAGCAACCTGGTTTATCTGTACAATTGTCAAGGTTGGTGGAAGAAGGCCGAGGAGCTAGGCAAGCAGACGACAGCTACGCGCAAGAAGGTGCTCGGCATTGAACATCCCGACACTCTCCTCAGCATCAGCAACCTCGCACACACGTACAACAACCAGGGTCGGTATAAAGATGCCGAAGAGCTGCTGGTCCAGGTGATGAACGTTCGCATACGAGTGATGGGAAAAGATCATCCACACACCCTCAGCGGCATGAGCAACCTGGCAGTGAGTTACCACAATCAGGGCAGGTGGGACGAGGCCAAGTCGCTCCAGGCGCACGTGGTAGAGGCTCGCAAGGTCCTGCTGGGCCCGGAGCATTTCTCAACATTAACGAGCATGGCGCATCTGGCATCGACATACCATAGCCAGGGTCAGTTGGCCGAAGCAGAGGAGCTCGGCCTGCTGGTGATGGAGCTGCGCAGGAAGGTGCTGGGTCCGGAGCATCATCACGCCTTGGTCAGTATGACTAACCAGGCGGTCATCTATCGCGATCAAGAGCAGCTGGCCAAGGCTGAGCGACTTGGTTTGGAGGTACTCGCGGTGCGGATACGAATGCTCGGTATGGACCATCCTCATTCGCTGGCTAGCATGGAGCACCTTGCAGCTACGTATAAAAAGCAAGGTCGAGGACAGGAGGCGAGGGATCTTGAAATGCAAGTCGTCGAGTCTCGAATGAAGACGGTGCCGTAAGGGCCTCGGTGGCCGCTTGTGAGAGGTATTATGTCGCTCTCTTGGAGCGGTAGGAGCGATTAATACTGTAGGTTGTCCCCTTGACGTCAATCAGATAAGGGATCAAGAACAGAGCTAAGAATACTCTCTTTCAAGACAAACATCATGTCAAGGCTACGCTGATTTCCCCGTAGGCTAATTGTGGTACAAAGCCTGTATCTGCATGCTACTTGTCGTTAGCCCTTGTGATTGCCATGGGCTCAAGTGTCAAACGTGGCTTATTGACTTGTTAATAAAGGATAAACCTTGAAAGACATTACTCTATCCGTACCAGTGCCTCAGTTCGCCAGCTTCTCGACTCAACGTGCCAGCGATGGTGTAATACCTCCTCGGAGGCGAGTTAGAGGCTTTTTTTTATTATTATTATTATTATTAATTACGTGTGATTCTGATCGATCGGATAGATCTCGGTTGAGTACATGCCTAGCTGATGATACGCTGCGATGGAGAGGTCATGGTAAGTGTCAATAGGTACGCACTAGGGGCTGGTTATAATAGCCGAGGGCCCGACCGATAGTACTAACACCACAAATCTGACTACTGATATGAAGAAAATAACAATGCTTCACGCTCAATTCGAGTTGGAATATGAGAAAGAGGAATCCAAGAGCCTATAGTTTATGCAGCTAGCCACATTGCCATGTTCGGATATCAAGCCGTCTGATCTGTACGGGCGCTATTTGACAAGTCAAGGGACAATCCCAAGGTCAGCCCTTGTGCATCTCGGCAATATTCTGCACGCGTGGCCCACGATCGAGACACGTCTCCGAGATGTTCCCTTGACAGGGCGGGCTTAAAGTCTGTCTCATCAGGGGGAGTCGCCTCGCCCAAAACTTCCAGCTGCCCCACAGCCACTACAACGCGAGCCAATTACGGCAGCTACAGCGCATCATAGCACTAATAAACCATACCTTTTCGGAGCAGCTCGCCGCTTTCCTGCCCGCGTCAGCCCCATCCCATCCTGCTTGGACACGGTCTCAACTTTCAAGGAGCCCAGTCCGCGAACAAAAAAGGAGGTTCATCGCAAATCCCATTACATTGCGGTGCGGCCTTGGCACGTAGCTTTTCTTCTTCTTCCTTGAACTCTTTTCTTCTCTACATTCTTTTGCTATTTTTTGTCCTATTCTCTCTCCGCTTCCCACATCTTGCTGTACCGCGCTTCTAACTAGGTACCAGCTGTCGTGTACCCTTTACTCTGAGGTGGGTAGCTATCACCAAGGGGTCAACCAATCCATCACCCGTTGCCCGCCCTTGTTGCTGCTTAACCCCGACATCCAAGCATTGACAAAAACGTTCAATTCCCACTGACACGCACCACCAGCATCATGGCGGCTCCTGCACCGCCCCAGGGCTCTCTGCGCCAGCGCAATGCTGCCTCAGTCAAAAAGCCGACCGACGCGGCTGCTGCCCACGACAATCAAGAACTCGACAAACTCGTCAAGGCGGCCAAAGCCCACAAGAAGACCGGTATTGAATGGGACCACAGCATTGCGCTGACTGTCATGACGGTCCTCGGTTTCATTACCCGTTTCTGGGGCATTAGCCACCCCAACGAGGTCGTCTTTGACGAGGTTCACTTTGGCAAGGTACCTTCCCACGACTGCGCGAACAGTAAACCACTACCAACGTGCCAAAGCTGACTCTGCTCTCTCTAGTTTGCTTCCTACTATCTCGAACGCACATACTTCTTCGATGTCCACCCGCCCTTTGCCAAGCTCCTCTTCGCCTTCATGGGCTGGCTCGTCGGCTACAACGGCCACTTCAAGTTTGAAAACATTGGCGACTCGTACATTGACAACAAGGTGCCCTACGTCGCCTTCCGCGCCCTTCCTGCCATCCTCGGCGCCCTCACCGTCTCCGTCACCTACCTCATCATGTGGGAGTCCGGCTACAGCGTGCCAGCCTGCCTCGTCGCCACCGTCCTCGTCCTCCTCGACAACGCCCACATTGGCCAGACGCGCCTCATCCTGCTCGACGCCACCCTCATCCTCGCCATGGCCTGCAGCATGCTCTGCTACATCAAATTCTACAAGCAGCGTCACGAGCCCTTTGGCCGCAAGTGGTGGAAGTGGCTTATCTTTACCGGCTTCGCACTCTCCTGCGACATGTCCACCAAGTACGTCGGTACCTTTGCCTTTGTCGCCATTGGCTCCGCCGTCATCATCGACCTCTGGGAACTGCTCGACATCAAGCGTGTTGGCGGCGCGCTCACCCTGCCCGTCTACGCCAAGCATTTTTCCGCGCGCGCCCTCGGCCTCATCATCATGCCATTCATCTTTTACCTCTTCTGGTTTCAAGTTCACTTTAGCATCCTGAGCCGCTCCGGCCCCGGCGACGACTTCATGACCCCAGAGTTTCAGGAAACCCTGAGCGATAATATCATGCTCGCCAACGCCGTCGATATTCAGTACTATGACAGCATCACCATCCGCCACAAGGAGACCAAGGCCTACCTCCATAGTCACCCCGAAAACTACCCGCTTCGCTACGACGACGGCCGCGTCTCTAGCCAGGGCCAGCAGGTCACCGGATACCCTTTCAACGACACCAACAACTACTGGCAGATTATCCCTTCCAGCGACGACAAGAAGACGGGCGTCAACGTTCTCAACAATGCCGTCGTGCGCCTCAAGCACGTGTCTACCGACACTATCCTGCTCTCCCATGACGTCGCCTCACCTTACTACCCGACCAACCAGGAATTCACCACCGTGTCCATCGAGGATGCTTTTGGCACCCGCGCAAACGACACGCTCTTTGAGATTCGCATCGAGCACGGCAAGGCCAACCAAGAGTTCAAAACGGTCGCCGGCCATTTCAAGCTGATTCACTTCCCCAGCAAGGTCGCCATGTGGACGCACACCAAGCCCCTACCTGAGTGGGCTCACAAGCAGCAGGAGATCAATGGCAACAAGCAGGTGCCCCCCAGCTCTAACGTCTGGATCGCCGAGGACATCCCCTCGCTCGACCCTCAGGACGCTCGACGTGAGAAGGTCGCTCGCAAGGTCAAGCACATGCCGTTCCTACAAAAGTACTTTGAGCTACAGCGCGCCATGTTCTACCACAATAGCAAATTGACCAGCAGCCACCCCTACGCCAGCCACCCCTACCAGTGGCCCCTCCTGCTACGCGGTGTCAGTTTCTGGACCCAGAACGATACGCGTCAACAAATCTACTTTGTTGGCAACCCCCTCGGCTGGTGGTTCGCCAGCGGTCTCCTCGCCATCTATGCTGGCATTGTCCTCGCCGACCAGATTTCTCTCCGCCGCGGCATCGACGCACTGGATCGCCGTAAGTAGACAGCTCACGCATGCTCTCGTTGCAGCAGCAAGCTAACATATCCCAGGCACCCGCTCCAAGCTCTACAACTCGACTGGTTTCTTCTGGCTTTGTTGGGCCACCCACTACTTTCCCTTCTTCCTGATGGGCCGTCAGCTCTTCTTGCATCACTACCTGCCCGCGCATCTCGCCTCGTGTCTGGTGGCCGGCGCCCTCGTCGAGTTTGTCTTCACCACTGGCGCGGCCCCTGGCACCGACAGGCCGGGCCAGAAGCACCTCACCGCCAAGGAGCGCTTTGGGGGTCAGAGCCTCATCGGCGTCTGGATAGCCTCGGGAGTTATCACTGCCGTTATTGCCGGCGGCTGGTATTTTTTCCTGCCGCTGACATATGGCTACCCCGGCCTGTCCGTCTCCGAGGTGCTAGCGAGAAAGTGGCTCAACTACGACCTGCACTTTGCCAAATAGGAAGCCGGGTCAAACTAATTTTGGGCCATGTTTCGTGAGCACCAGACTCCGGTGACATACAAAAGGGGTTTGGGAGCCGATTCAAGATATTCGCAATCTAGAGTACGTTATTTGCTGGGATTGGGGAGTCAGATTAAAATGCAAGCTATGCTGTTTTGGCAAACATGTATGAGAAAAGAATTGGCAGGTGTTTTGAAGGTTTCAAGTTGCATCTAATATTAAATCAATTTTCGTCTAATACCTAAACACATCTACACCCTCTCGTGCATGGGTTCTTGTATTGATTCGACCACGACCTGACAGCGCTAAATTTTGGGCCATGGCCACTAAGAATATCACCTCCACAGTGGCTCCAGGGGCGGACGTGACCAGGGTTAGTCAGGGCAAACAGGGCAGCTCCTCAACCTCCAAGGTCGTTGCTTGTGACAGCCTGGCATCAACCCTGAATCGACCATAACACACAATCCTCGAGGCTTTCTCATCGGCCTCATGTGAACGAACACCCACGGCTTCTCTGCGCCACCGCACCACCGAGGCGCGAATGCCTCTCCCGACATTGACACAGCGCCGCTCGACACACGCGCCTCTCCCTCCACCACCACCACTGACGACACGACCTCCTCACGCGCGCCACCACGATGCTGCTCTCCATGGCCGCGGCCCTCTTCTTACGCCGCCTCGGCCGCCGCAAAGCCATCCGCCTGCTCTCCGTCGTCTTCGTCCTCTTCAACACGTTCGACGTTGTCCGCATCCACCACAACCTGGCCCGCGAGCGCGAGTACGTGGCCCGCAAGACGGGCCGCGCCCAGGAGCGCATCTACATTGCCGGCATGCACTTCAACAACGGCGAGCTGCTCAAGGCGCACTGGAACAATGCGGTGCTGGAGCTGGTGGACCTGTTTGGGCCGGAGAATCTGTTTGTCAGCGTGTACGAGAGCGGCAGCTGGGATGACAGCAAAGAGGTGCTGCGCGACCTGGACCACCAGCTCGAGGCGCGCGGGGTGCCGCACCGGGTCGACATATCAGACGTGACGCACGCCGATGAGATTCAGCGCCCCGGCGGGCAAGACGGGCAGGAAGACGGCTGGGTCGAGACGGCGAGGGGCAGGCGCGAGCTGCGGAGGATACCGTACCTGGCCAAGCTGCGCAACAAGACGCTGCAGGACTTGTTTGATTTGTATAAAAAGGGCATCACGTTTGACAAGATTTTGTTCTTGAATGATGTCGTCTTCACGGTAAGCACCTTCTTGAGCCTTGTCTGCTGGATTGGTTGACTGACGCGACGGTAAGACGGACGACATCGTCACGCTGATGGACACAAACGATGGCGCGTACGGCGCCGCGTGCTCGCTCGACTTTGCCAAGCCGCCGCTGTACTATGATACATTTGCGCTGCGCGACGCCGAGGGCAGCGCGCACATTATGCAGACATGGCCGTACTTCAAGGCCCGCGGGTCGCGGTCGCCGCTCGTCAACAACCGCGACGCCGTCCCGGTGATGAGCTGCTGGAACGGCATCGGTATGTGCAAAGACCCCCCCCAAAACTTCATCGTCTAACTGGTGACACCGCAAGTCGTCATGCCCGCCGATCCCTTTGTGTCCCCCACCAAGCTGCGCTTCCGGGGCATCCCCGACTCCCTCGCCCGGCACCATCTCGAAGGCTCCGAGTGCTGCCTCATCCACGCCGACAACCCGCTGTCGCGGACCCTCGGCGTCTACGTGAACCCGCGCGTGCGCGTCGGCTACAACCTGCCCGCGTACCAGGCCACGCACCCGCCGTCGTCGTCGTGGGTGGCGGCCGTGGACATCTTTCTCGGCCTCTGGACGAACCGCATCAAGCGCTGGACGCGCGTCTCGTTTCAGGGCTGGGTCGTGCGCTCGCGCGTCGACGAGTGGCAAAAGGCCGACATGGCCCGGCACGAGCCCGGCGTGTTTTGCCTGATTAATGAGATGCAGGTGCTGGTGGAGAATGGATGGGCGCATGTGTGAGGGGGACAAGTGTTGGGGTGGCGGGTGTTGGAAAGCCTGCACTGTTGGTTCTGAAGCCATGGCAGCTTTGCAATGGTTGCAAGGACGTTTAAAAGCACAGTTCTCCTTGGTTGTTTTTCTCGTTATATTTGTTGCATATGGGCCGGTCAATAGAAATGAGTGTTCAGACAATCGCTTAAAGCAAAAATATACTAAAAGAAGGTTTCTAGAAAGACCCAAGCTCACAAGAAACGAACCCTTGACGCTCAGCCAGCAAAACCATCCTGCCAAGCAACACCGACCACTCACTCCAGCTGCCCCTTACGTCCTCTCTCTCCAGACTCAGTCTCACCAAGCAGTCCGTCTACCCTCACTGCAAGCCATGCCACCGCACACCCTCCTCTATTCACCTAGCCGCTTCACTTCTTCTCCGCTGCGCCGTTGTCTCCGGTGCCGCCTGCCCCCTCGGCGGCCGGGGTGGCTGCCGGGGTGTCCGCCGGGGTGGGCAGCATTGTCTGGGCCTGCGTCTGGGTGCGGCTCCGAGTGGGCGTCTCCATGAGCGCCTCCAGTCTCCTGATCCATCTTTGAGTGTTCTCAAGTCGCAGCGCCATTCCGACGGGGTCGCCTTGGCGCGCCAGCAAGATGTCCTCCTGCCGGATGGCGGCCTCGAGCCACCTGCTCTCGTCCTCGAGCTGGTTGATGTCGAAGCTTCGGCCTATCAAACTGTTTGGCACGGCGGGACCGGCGACGCTGCCCGCCGTCTGGCCAAAGCTATTTGTGGGGTCGGTCAACGGCTGCTGCTGCCGCCTTCTTTGCTGTTGCGTGATGCTGGGGTCGAAGAGGACGCGGCGGTTGGCGTCGGGGCGGCCGGTCGAGTCGACTCCCTTCTTATCCTTCATGTTGGAGGATATGGTGTTTTAGCGGCTGTCTTTTATTTCTATGGGCTTAAATTTTTTTTTCCTTTCTGCTTTGGAGACTGTTTGTGAAACTGTCTGGTAGTTTCCTAGTACTTGGGATGTTGTGGTCGGCGCTGCTGGATAGAATGTCTGGACTCACCGCGCGCGTGGAAGGTGCGTTTCAATATATAGTCAGCCCAGCAGTATCCCCGTATCACCCAAGGTCACCGATGGAATGACAGAAACGAATACACGGCAACGCGCTCGAGGTCACCCGCTCCTTGCCATGGTAGAACAAAGGTCGTTTGTCTGGAGTTGTACCACGGAACTCAACGAGCAAAGTGGTAGACCGTCTCATGATGATCAGCGAACATGTCTCGCGCAGTAGTGAGAAGCAGCAGAGGTTACACGATACTATAAAGAGATTAGCAGTTGGCAGGGGAAACCCGTTCCTTGGTCGGCTCCTTCACAGCTAGGCTGGGCGCGTGTGCAAGGAGTTCTCGTCGCAGCTCAGGGTACGGCGCGAAGAGGTCTTTTTTTCTTCACCGCTATTCAGTCTACTTTTGAGACTTTCTTTTTATCCTCTCTATGTAGTTGTGGTTTCATTTACCTCTCAAGGTCATGACGCGGTCGCAAATGGGTTTGGGGGTGACAGGCGGCTAATCCTTCTCGCGTGCTTATGACGACAGTCTATCTCTTGGCTCCGGCGACTGGGTTATTTGTAAGTTTCGGGGTAATAAAAGAGTGTCATTCATGACTGTTACTGCATTAAAGCTCGTGAAACGACGTTTTGTGATGGACTGGTTGCCATATATTATCAGCGACAGTCGCCAGCTTGTGTGATGCTGCGTAACCGCTACAGTTTCTCTCTTTCGGTATTCATTATGGAGCTCCGTACAACCACACCATGTTCGTCGATCAGGTATGGACAAGACCACGTTGGCAGATTCCCTATCGTTCTCTTGGTCGCGGGACTGTGTATTGATGGCCCGTTCATCCTTTCGCAGCTCGTTGGATTAGCTGACACCACACATTCTCCAACAATATACTTGGTTCTCCATTTCATATAGAATGAAACTCGTATACAGATATCGCAGTCCCTATAGCCGAGTCGTCATTTCAAGGGCAAGGGTTAGACTGATGAAACGACAGTAAAGGTGGGTACGGGCGGCGCTGGCCACAGTGTGGCGTCGGCGATGTGCTTTTAGCGAAATATAGCATTAAAAAAAAAGGGTTTATTGATTATATAAAAATTATAAAATTATAAAGAGAGTGCCTTTATACTCTCTAATCAATTCTCTACGCATTTACATCAGCTACTCTATTATTTCATCTGATAATATTCGCCGTCTCGTTGCATTTCCTCCGCTACCTCTAAATTATAATTTATATGACGTAGGGGCAACTGTAAAACGAGAAGGCTGAGCCGGGCTATATGAGGCCTGAATTTCGCACGAGACGATTTGTATCTTGTATTACAGCTATACCGTATTAAAAAGAGCTTTATAAGACGCCGATAGAATTCTCGGTAATTTCCCAGAGGCGTTTACCTCCAAGAAATAACAACGTTTCGAGGCTATCGCCACGCGCTACCGCCCCGCCAACCCGCCAACCCACCCTGGGGGGGCGTACATAGCCGATAGCGATAAGCTACCGCCAGTCTCCAATTCTTTTTTTTTTCTTACAGCCATCACGCATGCTTATTTGCATGATTCCCCCAAACGCACTTGTTCTTTTCTTTCCAATTCCTCCGCCCGCCTCGTCCACACAACGCCCCAGCATGGCCGACCCGATGCTGACGTCGCTCTGCGCCATCTGCCACGTCGCTCCGCCCAAGTACAAGTGCCCGCGGTGCGGGCTGCGCAGCTGCTCCCTCGGGTGCGCGGCGCAGCACAAGTCGTGGACGTCGTGCAGCGGCGCGCGCGACGCGACGGCGTACCTGGCGCCGTCGCGCCTGCGCACG